CGGCTGCTTTCCAGCGTTAATGCCAACAGCACCAAACGCCTTCCGAAGCTTCTTCTTCCATTTCTGGAGAGCAGCTCCGGCTTCATGTGGACTCCAATCTTGGAGCGACATCGTCGATGGGTACGTCTCGTTCTCGAACCCCAGCGACAACAGTAGCGAAACTGAATCCTCGGCAACTTGGCTAGTCGAAACCGAGTTGACTGGGTATTGAAGTTCCTGCGCAAGCGCAGGCCAGTCGGATTTTTTCTTGGGGATGGGCTTGAACAGCTGCATCCACTCATCATTCTGCATCAGCGCTTGTACGCGGTCGAAAACGCGCTTGGCGGCTGGTGTATCACCGTTGATAGGTGGGCGAGGTGCCTTCAGCAATGCTGAATGCTTTGCACTCGCCACCGAAGGTTTAGAACCCTCGGTCCCATCGTCATAATCTTCGTAGGCGGGTTCCGGTCCCACAATATCATCGAGCTCGTCGGCGAGGTTCCTCAAAAGGGACCTGGTCGCCCCGCTCAGCCCCGATGATAGCGTGGCCGTCTCCGGTGTCGCTGCGCCTGGCTCTGGAGCCGGCGTCATGTCTTCGTAATCTTCATAATCGTGGGCGTCAGGACCGATGTTCGCTTCGTCGTCGAAGCTCACTGAAAGATCGGTGGCGGCTGCAAAGCGCGCAGCCGGGCTTGAACTCTCGTTGCGAGCCCCGCCAGACTTGGCAGGCGTAACTGGTACCGTCGGTTGTCCTTTCGCCATGTTTCTTGTCTTTTTCTTCTTCTTCTTCTTCTCTTGGTAGCTCGTAAACTGGAAGGCCATACAAACAGTTCACAATGGTCACAATCTGTTCCCGGGTCGCGGCACCAGTTGTGGTGTTGGAAATCCCACGTGAGCTCTAGCTACAAATGTAGTTAGGATGTTCCCACAACAATACGTCTACTAGGATAGTAAACGATCGTTCGGGCGGACCTGAAGATCCCAGTTCTGCCCTTGCACCGGAACAAACTGGACCTTGTAAGCTACTTATATAGGCCAACCAGTAAAATTAAGAACACGCTACTAACACGAGCAAAGCTAGCAGGTGTTTTGAATCCTCGTGGTCCCAACAGCGGAAGGGTACCAGGCACGGGTAAGCCTTTTACGAGATCACCGAGTGTTCAACACTCGGTAGGAAGAATAAAAGGGAGGCAATTCTAGCACTCCCAGTCGTGCAAATAGGCAACAATAAGCCGTCACGTAAAACCTCCCGATAATAATCGGCCAATACACAAAGTCTCTTGGCCTTGCCGAATGAACCCTCGCTACAGAGCTTCGAGTTCACCGACAGGCATAACACACTCAAACAAGCTTGACCAGACGCTTACCTTGAAGCCGGACGTCGCTCTGTGTGCTTGAGTGGAAATTCTGTTCTGTATTTAAGCTTACCCTTCCGGGTCTTTTCCTAATAAGAAGTCCTAATCAAGTATACAAATATCAAGTGAACACTGATCCGTTATGGATCTTCTTGCATGCCAAGCGTCGTCTGCATCGTCGCATGAGCATCTTTAACGGTCCGCGCCCTGTCCCAGACGGTGAACGTGCCTTCCAAGGGTCGCTGAGTCTTCCGCGAACTCATCCCAACCGCCACTGAGGGTTCGTACCGTAGATGGTCCGCTGAATGCGAATCCGGCCAGTCCATTATTAATAATAAGGACAGCCTGGATTCAGTGACATATGGCCGTACCCAATACTCGTTGAAAGCTCGGGGGTGACGCCGTCGAGTCCCTGGCACCTTGGCGTCTTCGTACATCACCTGACCGAGGGTTCGTCGCTTGAACAACTTGGGCGGTACCACGTCTTTGTCGACGGGTGATAATTCGCAGCTACGGAGAAATCACTACACCACACACACCCCTTTCACGCTGCTGTAAATGAGGGTAATCAGGAAGTGATATTGACGTTAATGAAGAGCAAAGTCAGCTGAGATGCGTTGATCTAGCATCATCAAAGGTGAAACCGAACTGGCTAACAAGATGGGTACAGTGCTACCTGTTGTAGCATGAACACTTCCCCGCCACGTAGTGGGCATTGGAATTGTGGTGAAACCAATTGCAGCTCGATGTTCTATAAATCGTTTTGCCCAAAGCATTTGTCATTTCGTCAGCCAGCATCGCTGTCGTTGGGCAATGCTTAAGCGATATTAGTCCGCTGCTGTGGGCATCCTTGAATAAGTGGAGCATGGCGTCAACTTGCGGTTTTCTCCGATGTATCGCTGACTTACTGTCGATTAGTACAGGAACGTTTGCGTCTGTGTTCGAGAGCGTGATAGCTACCAGAAACATCTTGACCTAGACAATTTCTTCATAACCCATCGCACATGCAACGAACTCGGCAGTAGTCGTAGGACATGGCGACTTCAGTTTGTCGTTTACAGCCTCAATAGACAGCACAGTTATGGACAAATGCTAGAGCACCCAAAATCGAGCGTCTGTCAAGAATGTTGGAGATCGTTTAGCTTCGTCCAATGTCAGTGGCTACCTTAATATATTGCCCATCACCAGGAAGGCGGCTCCGATGTTACGGCTAGTTATTCTTTCTAATCGTCGAAGGCGAGTAAGCTCGGTATTATCCCGGCCAAAAAGGCTTGGACAAAAATGGTAATATATTTTATCTTAAATTAGAGGAATGTAACTCCGCAACCGTAGAGCCGATTTCGTTGTGTGTCCCCTTAATAGATAGCTTGGTGTCTATTTATTCTCGTAAGAACTTCACAGCATCTAATAATGTTCACTACTTTTCAAATGGTCGCCGGTAAGAAATTGACTGCTGCTGAGAAGTACTTGGTTGTGAAGACCTACGAGTTCCTCCGCCAAAAGAAGGCCTCTGCACCGCATCTATGGAAAGGAGGAGTTCGTTATCATGTCAAAGAGTGTTTAGGCTTTGCTACGGGCACCATTTCAGCTATATGGGCGCACTGGGAGCAGCACCACGACAAGAATTTCACCTCGGTAGGCTGTACTTCATATCATTTCAGTTATTATTGATATTTATCATTTCAGTGGTCGACAAATTAATTATGACAGATGGAAGGTCCAAAACCATCTGGGAGGCCTCCAGAAATACGAGACAAAATATCTGCAGCAAGGTGATGAATGCGAAATTGCATCGGAACCAGAGGGCAGCAACGAGGACACGGAAGAGGATGACGCCGTCGATGACAATGAAGCTGTAGCCGATTAGGAATATGAACGGGTGACCCGTTGTATGTTCTTTAAACTCTAGATATTCTTTTGACGGGTTCTTTTTAACAAGTTTATAATTTTCTAACAATCGTCAAATTGCGGTAATATTTGGAATTTATCCATCCGGTTCTGAAAATCCCCACCTGTTATCCCGGCTCTGCCAATGAATATGCATGCATGTTAGTACGTGCCAAGCCCACAATTGCAAACAATTCTGCAAGATATAGAGCCTTTTTTAAACGGCCGATTGGGAGATCAATGGTTGCAGATACGCAAAAATAGACCTCAAAATCGGAATCTACGCCCGATTTTACCCCTTATATCTAACTATCGTTATGGGTTTTGTGAAGGGAAGGGTTACCTTTTTTGGACCAAAGTTTGTCCAAGGTTTGGTGGCCGGGATAATAGTGTCGTTATTTCCCTCGACTATTTTGGTAGACGCTCCATCTGCACTCCTTCCCCGCATTGTGCGTCTGTAGTGGTGGTGGCTCCCCTCGTTGGGCTACGTGAAGAGGGTTTATCTCTATGGAAATCATTGGCTTGGCATTTTGGACGGCGACCCAAGGAATTATACGTCACAGCTGTGTACAAAACGAGCTCCCTCTTCTCGAATGCAGACAAAGTACCCTCTTGGTTGGTCGTCATGTACACCTCGCTGGCCAACTGGTTGACACTTGAAAAGTGTACTACATTGGGCGGGTGACAGCCGGGCAGTCACGCTCTCGCTGAGTCTGTGCGATTCAGCAAGATCGGGAAGATGTCCGTGATACTTTGCGTAAGGAGTAGGTGACGGGTCACTGGCCCCTTTCAGCAAAAATATAACCTGGAACCTGAAAAAAAAAGTTCCAAGCTTTGTTTTTCCCATGCGTTCAGCAAATCTTCCCCTGGAGGTGCTGCGTGCTCTCCACAATCATTCTGGCTATATATTCTAAGAGGTCGCGGCCCATGAACGTCGGACTGCTGCTAATGCTTCTCTTGGAGGGGATTCCTCCTCCAGCTGGCATGGGCGGACAAGCAAGACACCTCATCCAGCAAGCGTACCAAGCAGAACTCGATGTGATAGCCGAAGTAGCAGCTCCAAAGGATCGGGAGATTCTCGCGAAGCAGCGCAGCTCACACTGGGCTAAGATGTTGTTCTCTTCGCGCATCTACTTCGATGGATCGATGAGTAACCTATTTCGCATGGATAGCTCTACAATTGGCGCTTTGATACGGACTGTGACCCCCCATCTCACAACAGGAAGAATGGCACCAGATGCTGTGTTGCCTCCAGTGAGAGTAGCTGTCTTCTTGTATCTATGTGCTCAGGGCACATCGCTGGAAGCCACAGCAGATCGTTTTGCCATTGGGCCATCTACAGTCTCCGGTATCGTGCGCGAGGTGTCGTCCATTGTATGCCAAGAGCTCACGGATTTAGTAGCTTTCCCCCCTTTGGTACAATGTGCTTCCCATTTTACTGAGTTGTGTGGTGTGCCACAGATTGTGGGCTGTATTGATGGATCACATATACCTATTGCTCGACCTAGCGATGATGGAGACATGTATTACAATCGAAAATGCTGGTATAGTGTAGTATTGCAAGCCGTTGTCGATTGGAGGGAGAGGTTTTGCGACCTGGATTGCAAGTGGCCAGGACGCGTAGGTGGCAGTCGTGTGTTTCGCAACAGCACATTGGGTCGGGTGTTTCCCAGTGTGTCTGCGGCTGCGGCAAGTGTGACGATACCGACTGGAGATGACACCCATGTAAATCTGCCACCGTTTTTGCTAGGAGATTCTGGCTATCAAAATACCAATTTCTTAGTGACAACATTTAAGCTGGCGGAGACAGAAGATGAACTTTGCAAAGACCTCAACGAGCATCTTACTCGCGCACGTTACCGTGTAGAATGTGCGTTTGGACAGCTCAAATGTAGGTGGCGCATTTTGCTCCGGGGGGTCGATTTGGACACGGAGATTGCTCCAGACATTGTGTACGCTTTGTGCATCATTCAAAGCTTCCTAATGGACTACAGTGATACTGTCGCTATTGATGAAGAAGAAGTAAAGAGTGTATTGCAGGAGTACGAAAGAAAAATCCCACAGCCTCAAACGGAGCTCGAGCCAGCTATGACTAACAACCTACGAGAAAAACTAAAGCAGTGAAATTCCCTGTTTGTGAAGAATAGTATTCTGTAAGCTCAAGCACGGTCTGCATTCCATAGAACCACCATACCTTAGCTCTTTCTTATCTTGCTTGGAGAGATCAAACCACTCAGCCTTCCCAGTGCTGCCTTGCACTCTGTTTGCGCTTACATCACTGATGAAACGATACATCTCACGCAGTCCTTGGAGTTTATCTTCTATTGCCTTCTTTGAACGCTGAGTCGACGGGACGGCAGCTTGGTAAGCAACGAAAATGCGCTCGTTAAACATCGTCGTCTTCTCGTCCTTGGCTCGACCACTTCTGTACACAGCGCGCCACGCGCGCACCAGAGCAAGGATCGTGATGTCGGTCCAGTTGCGCTTGAAGTCAGAGATCGCAGGCTCTAGAGCTCGCACAGACGCAGGTTCCGCAGAGCCCAGGGGCTCTGCCTCGGGCTCTCCGCTTTCCATGCGCAGGCTGAAGGGGGGGGGTGAAAATGAGTGCCACGGAGAATCTATCCAGTCTCACAAGTTCCACGTTTCAGGGACCTCTTCCGCTCCCTAAACTTTGGCACTGAACCGAGGTTTACTTGGAACTTTTAGTGACTTTTTTTGCGGTTGGAGGAGAAAAAAGTGGTATGCTGAAAGTGTTTTCCCTCGAACCTAGAAAAAAACTTCCAGGTTAGAGGTTCCAACGTTTTGCTGAAAGGGGCCACTGCGTGAAAATACTAGCTTTTGGAACGTGATGGTCATTATCAGAATGGCGGGGTAGAACGAACTAATCGGACCATGATTGAGGCTACCTGAACCATGCTAATCCACTCTGGAGTACCTTGGACGACCTTATTACAATGGTGACGTGGGGTATCCTAGTCGCTCCCCTTACTCCGTACTGCGTTGATCTCGAGAAAATCCAAAGTGGCGTGACAGATGCGTATAGCTCTTCATCCTCTGACTATGCACCCATTCTCATGGATCCATCCGGAGCCAATGAATTTCCAGTCGCCTACGTTGTCTCCTGTGATCCCACTTGGCTAGGCACATACTATTATATCGACCTCGATGACGAGAACATGGCCATAAGTCCTGCCCCTCCACTAGTAAGACCAAACGTTTAGATAACATACAAAAACGTTTCATGTCGCTAGCGTTTTTTCATTGAGATATTAAGAAAATCTTAGCGCCTGGGCGTAGCTGTTCATGGCGATGGCCCTGTCAATATCGTTCTGGGACAAACCGCCGCAGTCGTGGGTGCTGAGCGTCACGTTGTACACGTTAAACCACTCCGGGTGGTGGCCCAGTTGCTCGGCTAGCAGCGCTGTTCGGTTCATGAAGCCCCAGGCCTCGTTGAAGTCACGGAACTCGAATTTACGGCGAATGGCGTCACGGTTAGGCACCTCTTCCCAGGCGCTGGTGATCTGCTGGAAAGCAGCGGTACGCTGTTCCTCCGTCAGCAGCGTCGTGTAGACATTCCACGGTGAAGCAGCGGCGTAGTGGAGAGCTTACGGCGCTGCCAATCGTGAAGCGCGTAACTACCCACAGTGAGGAAAAAGTGTCAACGCTGCGTCCACGCATTTGAGCGACCCACAGTCGATACACTTCGGGGCCAACTGCAGCGTTTCAAGTCAGAGGCCCTGGTCGTGCTGATGAAGATGGATTAGTGTGTATCGATGGAAAGTTGTGGGTTCCTGGGGAGGCTCGGGGTTGTTGCAACGCTATGTATAGTGGCGCTTTGCGGACCACATGGACATCGAGGCAGTAATGTGATGTTTGCAGCGGTTGTAGCTTGCTTTGCTTTTTCACCAATGCAAATGCGACAGTTAACCGATTCGTACGCGGGTGCCTCGTGTCTGAACATGTGAAGGGAGGAAAACTCGTTCAGCGACTATGGGGGCCTGCTACTACAGCAACTAGTGCATACATCTGGATCACTTGGAGCTGAGCGAATCCTACTGCCCGACGTGCTACGCAGCTCGTCCACAAGAACGAGCTAACGCACTATTGTGAGCTAATCACAGCTGACTCTGCAAACAGCACCACGGCTACTACTGCCATTTGTGACTGGTTCAAGCGGTTCGGTCTGCTGGAAACATGGGTCTCCGACAACGGCAGCCATTTTAAGACTACCCTCATGCAGGATGTTGCAGAGAGACTAAAAGGGGGTCACGAATTTGTCCCAGTATACTCTCCATGGATACACGGAGCGGTTGAACGCGTCAATCATGGCGTTCTGCAAGTTCTACGCGTTATGCTCATGGCGTTCAATTTGGACACATGCAACTGGCCCTATCTACTGCCCCTCATTCAGGCCAATCTCAACCATCTCAACCACTCGGCTGTGGTCCCGTGGGTGGGCACGCTTCGGTTGAGCTGTTCACAGGCCTACCGGCCCCCGGACACTATGGTGTTTCCTGTTGGCAGTGGGCGCGGTGTCGAATTTTCTGTACTAATCCTGTCCTAACTGTCCTACAAAATCCTTAAATACGTCGTAAATTACTGGAATAGATTGCAAAATGTATCCTAAAAAGGTTCTAAATCCGGAAAAACATTGCAATCCTAATACTGTCCAAAATTAAAAACCGGTATTTTCGTCGGAAATTTAGGACATATCCTAAAACCTATTTCGAGTCGAACTTGGGATTGAGGTTTTTAAAAGTTAACGGGAGCCAATCATGCAGAAACACATAGCTGTTTTAATTTTTATTGTCACTTGACAACTTTGTCCATGGAGCACAAGAACTACCGCTTCTGCAAGAAGCGCACCGTCCCGGAGACAGGAACAACCTATTTCAGCTGCGTGAAGTTCCGGGCTGGGTGTCCAGCACGTCTTGTAGTCAAGAAGGGGGGCACTATCATCGAAAAAAATATTCACCGCTGCGACCAAGAAATTTTAGAAGAAGTCGCAGACGTACGCCACGACATGTCTTTGGAGCTGCAAGATCGCGCCATTAAAGACTTCGCTGTTGCACCTGGTGTTCTGTGGCAGCGCGTCTTTGATAGTTTCCGTACCAAGCATCACCCGTCAACTATCTACGGTATTGCGCGTCCGAGTGGTGTTACGATCATCAAAAACGTACGCCAAGGTGCCACCGGTGGCGATATTTTCCGTGCAATTGAGGCTGCACCGGTGCGAAGCATTAGCGACTCAGACCCGCGCCCGTTCCTACAATTCAGCATGGCTCGCCCCACCACCGCCGGCATACAGCGTATGCTCTGCTTTGGGCATCCGGACTTACTGCGGATTCTACGGTACCCTCAGCTGACCTTTTTTATTGATGGTACCTTTTCGGTGGTACCAAAAGGTTTCTCGCAGTGCCTGATTGCTATGGTCTACGATCCTAGTGTCGACGTATACGTGCCACTACTCTACGTACTCGTCAATTCGAAAAGCCAAGAAACGTATTGGCGAGTACTAGAGCAGCTCATCATGGCGTCCGACCGCCAGCTGGAGCCTCGTGATGTTACCTGTGACTTTGAGCTTGCGCTCATTAACGCTGTGATTGAGCAGTTCCCTGCAGCCAACATTGTTGGCTGCCTCTTCCACTGGAAGCAGGCTCTACGTAGGAAGATGATAGAACTGAAGATTCCCAAGGAACAGATCGCAGACGCCATGAAGTCGGGAAAACTGGACGTGCTTACTGTCATTCCTGCCGAAGAAGTGCTGGACAAGGTACGTACTTTTGTATTTTACTTACGGAAAATATTACTAAAATAAAATTAATTTTTTTTGGCAGGACTA